GATCCACTACATCTCGGTGCACCTCATTAGTGTTAACATTCAATTAAGATTGATATAAGGGTGAAGATCTCTTCTTACGCTTTTCATCATAACTTTCTTTCTCACCGAAACCCAACCCTTAATAATGTCATATAAAAACTAACTGAACATTTTATTATAAAAATATCTTAAAATTTTGTTAAAATGTCCAAAAGCATTCTATTAACTAATTGTAACACTTTTAAATATGACACACAATTATTTTCTCCTATAAACTTGTGTCATATAAAAACGTCTATAAATATTTGATATCTTTTAAAACCCATTTTCTTTGTAGTGACGGTACTACTTGCTATAGTTTGGTTGGTTTCGCAATCTTTTTCGCTCATGGTTTAGTTACAATTGCATATATTAAGGGGCCGTTTACCCAAATGCTTGCTCGGTAAGTGCTCATAGTAAGAGTCAACACTATAATTTTTTTTATAGGATAAGATTGTAGTATATCAAAATGTATCCTATGCAACAATTTACCTGGTAAGTGCTTACCTGGTAAATGTTTACCCGAGTAAAAGTCGTCACATTCACTTACCGAGTAAGACTCTCCATTCTTATCATCTTTCTTACCAAGTAAGATTCTTGGCTCTTGCCATGTTCATCCAGTGAGCAAAATTGTCCAGTAAGTACTTACTGGGTAAACATTTAGTAAACTACCCATAAGTTTTTAAATTTGTCGTCTTAATTGGAATGCAGTTTAAAATGTTGTTAATGGGAACACAAAACATATCGTCCATCTTGTTAACTAACTTTATTGTTGGGGTGTTTGTGATACTGTTTTGATGTGGTTTGAGTCCAAACTACAAATTGCACCTTAAAGTGATCGTGGTCCAAAAAAATAAAGAGTTTCAGTACATCTAATTCCTAAATACATATTGCATAATTAAAAATAGTTAGGGGCTGTTTGGCAGTTGCTGAATGATTTTGTGCAGAATGGTTAAGTGGTCAGAATGATTAAGAGGGTCAGAATGATTAAGTGCTGAATGAAATATGGTTGTTTGGTAAATATTCTCTGAATGATAACAAATTACCATTTTAACCCTCTGTATAATTTAGTGCCGAATGAAATATAACTGTTTGGCAGATATCTGAATAAAACAATTACTTTGTAAATGTAACATTACAAGTTTTCATATTAATCCAAACCACATAACATTACTTGTTTAAATTCTTAAAAAAAATAAAAATCAAATTCCAATATAATTAATTATCCCATCGATAAGCTGTCCATCTTCACAAACCTCCATAACCTAATGAATAGAAAGTTTATCTTCCTAAGCACCTAAATTCAACTATATTTGCTTGCCCACTTAAATGCTGCATAATCTGAATCTCTCTTCTCATATCCTCTTTATCTCCTTTTGGTTTGCCGAGAATCGTGTTCGATTTGAAAACCCTTTTGGGGCTTGACAGTGGCTGTGGTTTTCTCGCCGGAGTTTGGGTTGCCGGAGGTGGGGATTTGGTGTAGAGTATGTTGGGGTCGTCGGATCTTTGATTTGAGTGAAAAACTACATCGGAAAACCCAGATGAAAATGGTGATGGAAAACCCAGATGAAAATGATGCGAGTTTTGCTGATGCATATACCCATTTTTTGGTGGATTGATGGAAAACCCAGATGAAAATGGTGAGATTTGGTGAAGAATTTGACAACCCAGATGGAGATTTTGGAGGAGATTTTTTTTGGGGGGGATGCGATGTGAAGGAATCGCTGGTGTAGAAAGGGCTGTAGATGGAGACGGTGGAGGCGACAACCGGCGAAGATGTGGAAGGCCGGAGATGGAGACGGTGAAGGTGACCGGAGATGGAGACGGTGGAAATCGTGAAGGCTATGCTGGAAGACTCCTCGGCTTGTGAAAGCGACGATGGAAGAGAGGGAAGGATTGTGATGCTGGAAGAGAGGAGTGGGAAGGGTAAATATGGAACAAATGATATCTGAATGGTTGAGTGAACTACTAGACACAAAATGGTTAAGAGGGTCATGTAACCATTAAGAGGTTTATTTTTTTTTGCCAAACAGTTTTTACCTCTTACCGATTAAGAGGTTGGCTCTTAATGTCACCATTAAGAGCCAAACAAACAGCCCCTAAGAAGTAAAAAAATCAACTTCAAACTAAATTGGAGATGTGAGTTGTGACGTGTCCAACTAATTTATTAATATTGTCAATTGTCATATTAGATCAAACTCAAAGTCCAAAAATATTACATAAATAATAAATTATTCTAGATATATATATATATATAGGGTGAAGTTCAAATGTTAACCAAAGTTTTTGTGTTAACTTTGTTAACCGATCTTGGCCATTCAATCTTTCAATAAACGGTTGTGATTAATCATGATAAAAACTTATTTTTTTTTAATTTTAAAATTTCATAAATATAAGTGAACAAAGTTGAAAAGGGTATTTAGGTAATTTTTTATGTAACTCCCATATCATTAATTGGGAGTTACAAAATCAAAAAATTATATGATTTTTGTTTATGTAAAACCATATGAACACAACTATATACATATGAACCATTGTGTCAAATTCGAACAAAAAATCGACATATATATGAACTTTGGTTGCATATCATTTATAAACACAATATGAACATAATAAGAATAACTGCTATACGAAATGAAATAAATAAAAAAACATGTATGAACACGATATGAACAGCTTGTAAACAATAGTTTCTTCATTATAAACATATTCAAGAGCGATCATTTGTCAATTGGAGTTTTATACATGCATTGCATCCACGCCGTTTAAGGTTCACCTCTTGTTCATATATGTTTCTGGTCTTATGTGGTTGTTCACCCCTTGTTCATATCGTATAAAATATATGAACACAAAACCCCGACGCTATGAACACCGGGTGCAAACACTTACACAAATATAAAAATTTGGTATCAAGCTTAAAGAATAACACTTGTGTTAATATGATAGAAGTAACATAAAAACGATAGTTTATGATTCATAAAAGTCGGTAATAGGACAATATGAAAATGAGTCGTGCATGTACTTCCATTTGAACATGTGAATTAGATACGTATTAATAATTAAAGAAAAAACTTATCAACACAATATGAACTACAAGAAACACAACACATCATAATAAACATAATTTCGATTAAAACGAGTTTAATAAAAATATTAATCCATTACCAAGACATTCGCTTTGGTTAATTTCTTCACTTCCCGAACTCGAACTCCGGTTGTCACCATAAACCATTTTAATCTTCTCAATGTTGTCGATTTTTTTCAATGTGTTTATCTATAATAGCTTGAACGATACCGAAGATTTTACTACCATGTTTCCTCCACGAATCAAAAACTCATAAAACAATAAAAATGGAAGATCAAGAATAAAAAAATAAATAAAAATATCAATATTATAAATGTATATTTTTAGGAATTTTATGACTTTGTAACTCCTCTTTAATGGTATGGGAGTTAGATAGCAAATGAAATGACTCAATTACCCTTG